ACATTATTTTTATGAAACCTTTGTGTTACTAGCTCTGAAAACAGAAGCAGTCATACCCAAAATATGGGCGCATTGCCACTAAACTTTTCAATAAGAAATATTATGATTTTTTTTTTTTTCGTAAGTATTGCCCAGCTAGTATAAAACCAATTACAACCATGTAAAACCCTGTAGTCTTAGAGTAGTAACAGAGAACTTTTTCTATGTCATTTTGGACTGATCAGCATCAAAAGTATATGAAAGTGCCCAAGTAGGTACTCTGTCTAATTCAAAACTAAAGGTATTATTAAATATTTGAGTAAAATTCAGTGTTCTCTTTTAAAAACATTATTGTAAAACATTGTTTTTAAGAGAGAAAAATATGTGCTTAACAGTGCTGTTATTTAGTTCAATTTTGGTTTTGTCAAATCAACATAAGGCTTCACTACACTGATGATAATGAGTTTGTAGGCCTGCGAGGCATGTTACAGCAATGATGGAGAAAAAATTAGAGAGAGAGAGGGTGGAGAGGGGTGGGGGTGGGCAGAGAGAGAGAGTAGGAGCGACACGAGAAAGAAGTGAATGAGATAGGTTGAGTAAGAGAGAGCGAGAATGGATGGAAAAAGGAGAGATGCCCATGTCAGGGTATGGAGGGATTATGGAGCTGAGAGTGGAGAAGGGGAATCGAGGATGAGGGAGAGGAAGAGCGAGAAATAGTGGAGAAGGGATAAAAATAGTTTTCCTTTCTTGTGCACTCTGGAAAATGGACATCTGAAATTGTGTGGATGGAGTGTTCCAGAGGGAGACTGAAGGGGGAAGGGTGTGTGTGAGCATTTGTGTTTGTATGAGGAAAAGAGAAATGAGGAGAGAGTGTCTGTGTGTTTATACACACTCACACACACACACACACACACACACACTATTGTCTGTTGTCATCATGCTGTGCACTGTAGTCAGTTTTGGATTTCTGTTTGTGGAAGTATTGCCTTCCAGCCTTTTTTTGGGCCAAAAAGACCAAAATGATAACACTGATTCAACACTGTAGTTTAATCCATGTTCCAAATGGTGTATGAAGACACACACACATTTACATACACACACCACCCCCTACCCTCATGATGTGGTGCAATGGTTTGTTCCACTGATTTTGCGTAGGTGGGGGAGGGGGTAGAATACGATTTGATTGGATAATCCAAGGATTTAATATCCCCTAATCCTGGCACAATCCTCTCTGCATTACTGCAGGGAGTAAGATTAACTGTATGTGTGTAGTATGTGTTTGTTTCTGTGTGTGCAAAACGGTGGGTGCTCTGGGAGTGGGGAAAAGTGTAGTGTATACTGTGTGTGTGTCTGTGTGTGCGCACATATGAGTGACATGTACTGTGTTTGTATTTGTGTTGGCACCACAGCATGCAAATGGAGCTGTGTTTGCATGCAGGGTTTGGCCATGCGTGTATGAGCGGACGTGCCTCCACTGAGTGCAAGTGGTCATGCAAGCTCACACACACGATCATATATCACATATCTCTCCCTCATGCATCGCCGCGCCACTGCTCACATACGAATCCACTTTCCTCAGAGATTCAGAAACTCAGCGAGGGCTTCTTAGTATGCAGCAGGACGGATGAAACCGTGCTACAGTACTAAACCAGCCCCTTGTACGTGCACATGTTTGCAGATGGTTACTGTTAATTAAGTCTTAATTGGAACGTGAGTAATTAGAGGATAATTTGACTTGAAAGGATCGTGGGGCTGTTCATGTGTGTTGGAGTAAAGGAGAGAGAGAAAGACAGAGTGGAGTACAGTGTGACTGACTAGCAAGGACTGTACTTTATTTGCATTTTTCTCTTGGGCTCAAGGGAATTTTAATTACTCTGCTACAATATAGATTCAGTTCCCTCACCTTCTCCCTCGCCTTCTCTTGCTCGGAGCCAACTCACACTTATTTCCTCCTCTGGATACTGCCCACATCTCTTCATTATACTATAAATTTCCTGTCCTGCTCAGTTCCCTTGTTCTCATACATTTTTACTAATACTCAATGGTCATTTGTCCCCTGTGTTTCATTAGTTTACGACTCAAGGAGAGAGAAAAATAGTATGAAGCCAGCAAACCACTCTCCAGCACAAATTTTTTGTTTATCCAAAGAGCACAGCAGTCACCCTTGGCAACCAGCATCCTTGTTTACCTACCCAGTGTGCCGTCATACGATTGCCATGACAACAATCTGGTTGCCATGCCAATTTTCCGATGCCATTGTGTTGTCTTTGTCACAGCAGTGTGCACCTCTCACCTGCTGCTTTTCTCCATCTCCTCTCCTTTTTACTCCCATCTTTCTTTATGTATTATAATAAATTAATATTATGTCGATACTTTAAAACATCAAAAGGTCAAAAACACACTCACATACACGCACATACTCAGACACAGATTGATAAGCCTTGATTGATATGCCATAGTTTGTAATCATTAGATGTTTCTGTTCAGTCTGTTTTACGGTCTCAAGGATGAGCTTGAATAGGCCTAATGAAGGAAGAAATGGAAGAGGTGATGGATGGATGGAAGGATAGAGAAAGGGTTTGTGGACACAAATCTTGCTACAATCAGCCTGCTCTACAACACAGCCCAAAATCAATGAACAAGACGGGACTGATCGATGAGTTGATAGCACAAGATGGATGGCAGCGTGGATGGACAGCAATAACACCAGGACTGGGATATGATGGATGGATGGATGGATGGATGGATGGATGGATGGATGGATGGATGGATGGATGGATGGATGGATGGATGGATAGATGGATGGACAGTGTGAATTCAAGGTTGCAGAAAACTGTGAGGGTGGAGTGTGTGTGTGTGTGTGTGTTTTCTGGAAGTTTATGTTTATACTGACAGTTTGAGTCAATAAAGGTTTGGGGTTAAAAATGGACATCATCCCTTCCTCTGCAGACCTTGTATGTGTGTGTGTGTGTGCAGACATGTTTGCATCTGTGTGGGTTTGTGTCTCTGACTGTGTGTGATGGCCTTGCCTTAGATCAATAGCTTTGTGGTGACAGCTAAGAGCTGATTAATCAAATGTATGGATCAGTCTCTCTCTGCTCTGCCCTCTCCTCAATTACCAGCTTCATTACATTGCCTTAACACCCCTCTGGGACCTTTCTCCATTCTTCCTACTCATCCCCTCCCTTTCCCCTCCTTCCCCATCCTCCTCCTCCTCCTCTCTGTCCCTTCCTGTCCCTTTTCTCATCCTCTGTTCTTCCCTCTGAGTTTTTCTCCTCCTCTTTGAATAACTGTTCATGGATGCCTAGTACCGTAATTCAACCACTATTACTACAAATCACAATTTGACTGGCAGTGAGATAAAGCATTAATTACACTCTGTTGCAGCAGAGTGAGGAGCTTTAAATCTGAGCCTGACTGAAAACAATGTGTCAAAGCTCGGATTGAAAGATAGGAGAGTCTAATCAACAACTTGTTTTTTTTTTTCTTTTTTTGGCTTTGCCTTGTGTACTGATAGTCACTCCTGCCCCTTTTCTCTCCTTTACCTTCCTTTACTTGCTCCATCACTCCTTTGGATCCACCCTTTTTGCATCTCTCCATTTCTTGCACTTCTGCCCTCTTTTCATCGCCATCATTCTGCAGCCCTTTTCCACCCCCACCACATCCCTCTGGCATTAACACTCTGTCTCATTGCCTCAGTGCTATGACTAAGCACTGTGTGTAGTATGTTTTTGAGGCTGTGTGTGCCTTTATGTATGTGTATGTGACAAACCTGTGGGTGTATAGATAGTATAGGCCATTTCGAATAAGTGTGTGCATGTATGCATCAACACTCTAGGCAATGGATCTCTGTAGTCGTGACATTTTTTAGACAGAGCAAGTCACGACTGAATCACGCCCCACTCCTCCCTCCTCCTCCTCTTTCTCTTTCTATTCTTTTTGAATCATCCTCTCAGGGGTAGCTCTGCTTTCATCCACCCACTCTCTGTCTCTCTCTGTCTCACTCTTCATGTAATGCTTCTTTTTCCAGCATTTCCATTCACTCCCCGAGTTCCTCTTGGCCTTCCACCTGCCCTTTCAGTCGGTCGAAATCAGTCGGGGTCCCCCAGGCCTCTGTCTCTCTCTGTCTCTCATTCTCCATTCTTTTATTTTTAGCTGACTGCGCCTGTTCCTTTCACACACTTGTCATCTCATTCCACTACAGTCTCTCTCCCTCTCTACTCTCTATCTCAGCCTACTCTTGTCCCTCATCTAATCCGTAGTTCTTCTGTAATCCAGATCAGCTGGCCTGCATTCTTAATCTCATCACTTCTCAATCCCCCATCCATTCTGTGTGAGTGTGTGTGTGTGTGTGTGTGTGTGTGTGTGTGTGTGTGTGTGAGAGAGAGAGAGAGTGAGAGAAGTCAAAGATAGTAAGGTTGTGTGTGTTTTGACACAGAAAGAGAGCAACCGGGGACAGAGTTCAGACATACTTGTCACCTGCTAACCTTGATTTATCAGGGACTAAGAACACACGGACACACCCAAACACATGCACACACAAATTCATCAGTGTTGAATTTAAAGGTTAAACATTTTGTTCAAGGACCTCAATATCACACAAAATCATTTGTCAATACATAGAATGACCTCTTATGTATAATGTCAGTGTTTTACTGTTTTATAAGCTGTTTGATGGTTAGTTGGTCACATGCTTTGTCAACTGAAATTTAATTTCTTTTGATTTGTTATACCAAACTGTTAGTATTACTATTTTCCACTAGTATCCCAATTCATGTAACACTTTTCAAAATATCTTGCCAAAGACTTGCAGTTGAAAATTAGTCAAGTGGCCAACCCTGGCACGTTTAGAGAAAGATTGATTTTTGTGTGTTATCCTTATTAATAAATGAAATATAAACAAATGTCATGAGGCAATTTACTGTGAGTAAAGAGATGTCCTGTAACAGGATAAATGGAGGGACACTTGCCTATGTTGAGCATCTGTGTTGATGTTCCTGCTTTCTTGTTTTGTCCCTCAGATGAATCGACCAATCCAGGTGAAACCAGCTGACAGTGAGGGAAGAGGAGGTGAGACATACATATAAACATACTTCAACATACACACACACACACACACACACACACGTGTGTGTGTGATGTGCGAGTTGGTGTCAAGCTGGATCAGATAAAGATAGAAACTAGTCAACAGGGTGCTTGGAGGGTTATTGGACTCAGTAAATACACACACATGTACACACAGACACACATTTCCACTCCCCTCTCTTATCACTATCCTCTGTGGTCAATACTGCTCCCTGGTGGCCACAAATGGTAGCTTCCATAGATAGATTTCGATTAACACAATTTCTACAATCTTATCATCAGGGGTGTAATCAAGTTAGGGGAAATAACATTTGTATTTGTATTTTTAATCTTTTCTTCCACATGACCTTGGTCTCTCAGAGGACAGGAAGTTGTTTGTGGGCATGCTGGGAAAACAACAGAGCGATGAGGACGTCAGAAGGCTTTTTGAGCCCTTTGGCAGCATAGACGAGTGTACTGTGTTGAGAGGACCCGACGGCACCAGCAAAGGTAACACAAAAAAGATCCCACAAACTACCTCATTTCATTTAGTACTGTGTAATTTAATACAGTCTGTGTGCTCACTGTGTTTTGTTGCAGGGTGTGCTTTTGTAAAATTCCAAGGACACGCTGAAGCCCAGGCTGCCATCAACAGCTTGCATGGAAGCCGCACAATGCCTGTAGGTTGCATGCATATGATTAGAAATGATTGAAACCAGTCATATATGACAAACACACACACAAGGCAAGTACACACACGTAATGTTTGAATGGTCTTCCAAAGATGTGTGCATAAGCCAGGTGGGAGAGTTTACATTTTATGTCGGTAATAATGTAAGGTAAGCTTATATTCACTTTGGTGCTGTCCTGGGCATCCTCTATATGCTGGGATAGGCCTGAGCCCCATGTGGCTCGTAAAAGGATTAAATGGATAGAGAAAATGAATGAATTAATAAACATGGAGCCGAGTCCCATTAACACATAAAGAAGATAACATAACATTACTTGTAATTGCAGTTGAAACTTAGGTCTGGCTCTATATCTCTCCCCACAGGGAGCATCGTCCAGTCTGGTGGTGAAGTTCGCTGACACAGAGAAGGAGCGGGGGCTGAGGAGGATGCAGCAGGTGGCCTCCCAGCTCGGCATCTTCAGCCCCATGACCCTCAATTACCCCGCCTACAATGCCTACACACAGGCGGTCAGCGCACAGGCAAGCAGTGCATGCACCACAAACATTCACTGTTTTACACACACAAATACACACCAAGTTTGTAAGGGGAGTGCTGTGCTTATGAAAGGATGTAATAAGTTTGAAGAGGCTATCAGTAGTCTAATTGAGGCTAATGTTATTACCCAGACAACAGAACATACGTCATCTGGCATTAGCTTTCCCGCAACACACAACCATTAACCCACTGACTCAAGACATAATGGCCTTGTAATTAGATCTCTATTCATCTGTTCCTCCATCACTCCCTCTCCATGTCCCTTCCTCTCCTTTTTTCTCCCTCTTCCTCTCTCTCTCTCCCGTTCCCATATTCATTTAACTGTCTCTTTGTCCTCTCTCTCGCTCGTTTTTTCCCCCTCTCTCCATCCTCTCCCTCCTCCTCCCTCTTTTTTCCCATCCCCTTCCTCTCTCTGCCTCTCTCTCTGTTTCCTTCCCTGTCTACAGCTTGTCCAACAGCAGGCCTTGGTTGCCCAGTCAGCATACTTGTCTCCTGTGGCAACAGTTGCCGCCGTACAGATGCAGCAGATGGCGGCGCTCAATGCCAACGGAATCATTGCCACACCCATTACACCCATCACACCATCCTCGGGTAGGCTCACACACACAGACACACTTGAATTTGTCTACGGTCAGACACATGCAGAGGTGCTGTATTGTGTAGAACAGTGTGTATTGCAGTCGTAGTTGTCAGCTGTATATTATAATACAAAAAAAAAGTATTTTCATTATGGTGAGCAGTTTTTCCCTTTCATGCTTTGGTTTGTCAAAGTAAAGGCCATGATAAGCATTGTACTACAAATGATAGTAGAAACAAGTGTAGTCAAAGACTTGCAATGAGAGAGACTTATTGACTGGGGTGTGATCTATGTCTGTAGGTACAAACACTCCACCAACTATTGCAGCAACGCCTGTGTCAGCTCTCCCTCCACCAATAGGAGTTAATGGTTACAGCAGTGTGCCAGCGCCAACCAATGGACAACAAGCAACAGAAACACTATACACCAATGGCGTTCACCCATATCAAGGTATTTTAATAAAGTCAAAGTATACAGACGTGTAATGTTGAATTTAGACATTAAATTAGGGAAAATCAACAAGAATTTACTATCACATTACTTTGTATTTATTTTATTTTTTCACTCTCCAGCTCAGAGTCCAGCAGCAGCGTTGGACCCCTTACAGCAGGCGTATGCAGGCATGCAGCACTACACAGGTTGGTACATGGATTTACTAGCATTACCCAAATGTCATAGTATAAAGTATAATCTATTTGTAACAAGAGCAGAGCCATTAGAACCAAAATCAGATTTGCTGACAGATAGGGTTAAAAGAGACTTTACTTTACAGGCTCATGAGGCATACAAACATTTTAAGCTGTTAAAGCAGCAGCTCAAATGCTCAGGTATTCTGACATAAGACAATTTGACAAATGCACATTATATGTACTAGTGACCAAATGGGATAGTGTAAAGACAAGTCAAAAGGATGGTCAGATGAAGCCCACTGTGTGGACAGTATCATTGGACCTCAGCATTGAGTTACATCTTCCTGTTGTGGGCCTATCTAAAATAACACATCGCCATAGTATATGGATTGATGTAAAATGGAAAAAAAACCTCCCAGTGTAAATGCATTGAAGTTGCTTCAAAAATCACTTCAGATGCAATAAAGACATATTTTCCTATGTTAATTACAAATACCAATATGTTTACAGAAATAAATATTAATGGGCAGCTCAGGAAGTAGGTTAAATCAAGATATTCAGAAAGGAAGTTGAACTGCCATTGTGTCAAGGATGGACATTTTTAAAGGACAGTTAATTACATTAATTTTGTTACGATTCATTAGATTTAATTGTAACACGAAATACATAAAAGGGAAATATTAATGGCTGGTAATCTTCACACCATCTGACATGTTTCTCAAGATTCACTACCATGTAGTAAAGGGGAATTGTAACGTGTGCATACCAGACTCATCAACAGTGTCATTGTTTAGCAGAATAGCTCCATTAAGCTGTTACAGTTAATAGTTTTCACCTTCAGCAGGACACATTTCAGTTCAAACAAAATGAGTCTATTCGACACTGCTATGTTGCCACCTGTTGTTTTTACCCAATCAGATTTTGTTACTGTCTGTCTCTCCCAATAGCGGCATACCCTGCTGCCTACGGATTGGTTGGGCAGCCATTCCCCCAGCAGCCAACACTGGTTGCCCAGCAACACCAGCAACCCCAGCAACAGCAGCAGAGAGAAGGTGATGTGACTTCCTGACTGTCTGGGGCCACACCCCTCTATTCAATTTAAAGTTGTTTATCACAAGGATTTCACAGCCTGAGATCATTTATCACACTCTTCCTAATGTGTGTGTGTGTGTGTGTGTGTGTGTGTGTGTGTGTGTGTGTGTGTGCGCGCGCGTGTGTCCCAGGTCCAGAGGGGTGTAACATCTTCATCTACCACCTGCCCCAGGAGTTCAGTGATTCTGAGATGCTGCAGATGTTCCTGCCCTTTGGCAATGTCATCTCGGCTAAGGTGTTTGTGGACCGTGCCACCAACCAGAGCAAATGCTTCGGTGAGACACACAGACAGGGAAGAAAGAGGGAGGGAGAGGGGAGTGTAATTGTTTTAGAGAGAGGAAAGGACAAATGAGCAAGACAGGGGCTCGCTTTGTGGAGGACAAACTATTGTGTTAATTTCTGTATCTAAATTAAGGTGAGATAAAGGTAATGTGTCTTTTTTCTCTCTCTCTTCCAGGATTTGTGAGTTTTGACAACCCAGCCAGCGCTCAGGCCGCCATCCAGGCCATGAATGGTTTCCAGATTGGTATGAAAAGACTGAAAGTGCAACTCAAAAGGCCCAAAGATGCCAACCGCCCATACTGAGTGACAACTGAGAGGAGGAAGAAGAAATAAAAAGAGGTGAGGTGGCGCTCACGAGGTGACGAATGACACGACTTCAAGGGAAGTGGGGTGTTGTATGTTGGGGGAGCAGGAGGGTGAAATGAGTTTAGTGAGAAAAAACGTGGAGAAGGTAACTTTAGCTTTGACACTTCAATGCTAACTGATGGTAAAAAGTTAAGAGGAGAAGCTTAATATGACATAGTGAATATACATTAGGTTACTCATATAAAACAGCTTAATCAACTCAGGTAAAGTGAAAATACTAAAATATTGTTTTCCTTTTTATTTTCTTTCACAATCTTATTTATTTTCTTTCCTGCTGTTTTGATCTTTTCCTGAAACGGCAACTTACCTCACCCAAGATCCTTCCGTCCAATCATAATTCACGAGGACCCCATCGCTATGGCAACGGTTGCCTAGTGACTGATAAAGCCCCGACCCCCCCTTCCTCTCGCATTGTTGTAAGTTGATTGGTTGGCCTGTGTTTGGGTTGCTGTGGCGATTGATTGCCTGTGTTGGTTGCCCTTGGCAATTTTTGTTCTGTCACCTCGAGCAACCAGCCATGCGTTGACCTGCATGTCCTGTTGCTGTAGTGACCACAGACTGTGTTTGGTGCATTGTGACTTTATTTTGTATTGACCTGTGCACATACTGATCAATAACTATCTATAGTCAGGACTGTACTTAGAATCAATTGATTTGATTGGATATTTGATACACTTAATCACTGCATAGTAATTTGATAAATTCTGTAGAAACGCTTGTTATTTTTTTGCAGCTTTGTTTTTGATCAGTTTCTGTAGTGTTCTGTTTGGTGTCATTATTATTTGAACAAATTGTTTGGGTACAATAGTGAGCGTGGGCATCTATGTGTACATTTGTGTCTGTGTTACACTGCTAGTGTGTAATACAGGAGTGCATAATCCTTGTTGTACTGGTGTCTGTATAGAGAGGTTTTCCAGAGGTTTCTATAGAGGACTGTTGAAGAAATGTAGATTAGCACTACAGTTTACTGCCAAATATCAATAAATTGTTGATGGAAAAACTCTTATGATTTTATGCAACATACAAAAATGGCAGGCAATGTTGGACAAGAGGTGATGATTATTAATGATTATAAAGTACAGTATAGATAAGTTTAAATATGGCTAAAAACTGGTCCACAACACGGTCCACACAGTTCAGAGGAGAAAAGAACAGATATGTAAGTTCAATGACAAAAGCACACTATTTTGGGTGAGCATGCATTTTGTTGAGCTGTACTCTGATAGGCTGAGTTTGTAATCCTGGATTCTGATTTGTTACACTGTTTGATGTGGCACTTTAGTTTTTTGCTCCTTCATTTCTCTTTCTTGGTCTCTTTTACATCTTCTATCACTGCTTTTGTGGTGTTTCCTCCCTCTCCCCTTCACTATCTCCCTCCTCCTCCTCCTCTTCCTGCCCGTCTTTCTCCTCTGGTCCCTTTATCTCCTCCTTCTTGTTCTTACTTTCTCTGTTACATTCTTTCTCCTCTTCTCTTCATCCCAGCCTCCTCTTTCTATCCCTCTAGCTCGAGTTTTAAGGTAAAGGGTATGTGGTTGTCATGGTGGAAAAACAAATGCCTCTTGCTTATTGGAGAACAGCCTTCAACTATAGGAATTCTGGGAGAAATATAACACAGAGAAAATAAAGGATCTATAGGATACATTTTGAGGTAAATTTAATCCTCCACAAACCCTAACCTTTACCAAAGAGGAGAAAATGTGTAGCTGCTGTCAAGTCAGTGTGTGGAGGCACCGTCACATGGCAGCACACATTATAAATAAAGGATTCTGTTTCTATTTCTAGACAAACCTTTACATAACAAATCCTTGTGGGTAATAAGAGGGTCTTTATGTGCAATGGACCTGTCTAATAAAAACGTCTATTTGAGCCCTTGAAACCTGCTGCCCCTACATTAGTGTGATTCAAACTGTCACCCAGAATTTCTATACTGCAAATGCCAGAGAGTGATGCATGTCGGTAGTAGTGTTTGCTTGCCATGATTCAAGGCACATGAGTGCAGCACATGCTCATAAGGTCACACACATAAACACGTTATTAACAGATACTGGAGCTTTACAAACACACACACACACACACACACACACACACACACACACACACAATCACACAAGGACACGAATAATGGATTTTCACTGTATTGAGTTGCATGATTCAGACACTGTGTGTGTATATGTTAAAGCACCATGATTTACTGCTGTTGAAAGACAGAGCTTTACAACTGTGAATGATGTCTTCTTGTTTTAACTCACCAAGATGAAACTGAAACAAAGACAAGCTAGGAGCATCCTGAGGTGCAGGTTGCTGCAATACGTATGATAGCAGTTCAAGTCATGCCTACAGAAGAGTTTTGTTTGATGGGAGGGGCATGTTTGTCAAGATGTAAAGATGAGACAGAAACATTGAGCTCCAGTGTATTTATAACTAACACATCCTCCCTCCTTCTCTGTCCCTTTCTCCTTGTTTATGCATCACTCCCTCTTCCCCCCAACTCCCCCCCTCACAGGTGACCCTTCAGAGTCCAGCCAAGGTGGAATCCCAGGGTTCATTGTGCTTTCAGACTGTCTGCTACCTTTGAGCGTCCGGAGAGTGCAGCCACATACACACATACACTGACACACACTCACACGAATATACATGCTCTCTCAACACAGAACCTCAAACGGTACAAGGCTGATATACAAATGTACATAAAGTGCACAAACACACACAAACAAACACACCTGCCGACACTCACACAGATACACACGGTTCATGCGAGTCAGTAATCTTACCCATACAGCCGAGAGCTTGGTTTGACCATAGTCTGTGTGGAGTTTGCCAACAGGGTGTTTAGTACAGTTAAGACAACTCAGACCAAGTGTGTATGGAAGGTACTGATGAAAAATGCTGATATATCACTTCAATAGACTTTAACATGTCTATACCATGTCTATTACATGACAAATATAGAGGGACCGATGTTTCATAATAAAAAAAAGGAAGAAAATACAAAAAAGACGATTAAATGAGTAGGTTAGAGAGACTTTGGAGAAAATCCTAATGACCTGTAAATAATTTAGTTTACAAAGAGCAGCATTTAAAAAACAAGAAAAAATGCAAAAAGAATACTACTTTAGATAAACACTGAACAGGACACAGCGACATAATAATTATTATTATTATTATTATTATTATTATTATTATTATTATTATTACCACTAGTAACATCATCATCTACATAAAGGGATATTACATTCCAAATTGTAAAGTGGGAAATCACTAACATATTTTAAATTTCTACTTAGATTTTAGGTGAAACACGGGGGAGGGGGGGATTGCACTTTTATTCGGGAGGTTTTAATATTTGAGCTATTTTTTATTTATTTACTAATTTATCAGTTATTTTGTTTATTGGGAGAAGGGGTTTGAGTGGGTTGCAATATTTTCATTTTAGAATTTTCTAGAGAAAACCTTTTGAGGGCCTGTTTCTGTCAGACTCTTGCAATCGAGTAATTATAATGTATGTATTAATTATTACAGCAATTATATTTATTTCTAATTTATTGAATCCTGTTTTTGATCCACTCTCTTTTTAAGTTAAAATAAAAAGTATCATACTAAATGTCCTAATGTGGTTTATTGAGAGTGTGTGTGTGTGTGTCTGTCTGTTTGTGTGTGTCTGTCTGTGTGTGTGTGTGTGTCTGTGCGTGTGTGTGTGTGTCTGTCTGTGTGTGTGTGTGTGTGTGTCTGTCTGTCTGTGTGTGTGTGTCTGTGCGTGTGTGTGTCTGTCTGTCCGTGTGTGTGTGTGTGTGTCTGAGAGAGAGAATTTTTAATGATTACTTTTATGTAAAAATCTGGATTCGATTGATTCAACACAAATCACATGAATGAGAGCGCACATCTGTCTTGTGACCAGAAGGGGGCATAAGTGGAGAGTATGTAATCAGAGGAAGAGAAAGCGTTTACAATCCCAATTGATGCGCCAAGCTTGTTATCTACTGTATTCATTTATGGGAGTAGGCTACTTATTTATCAGCAGAATTTAATGCTCTTTGCTTTATCTTTGAGAACATTGTTCCAGTAAACTCTTCTCACTGTGGGACAATAATTCTACATTTTTTCCCCTGATGGGCTAATGTCATTTAAATTTACTGAGAGAAAAAAAACAATTTGATGAGTGCAAGTGTGCAGGCCAGATTAAATTATTAATGAGCTGTGTGGCCAAATAATACAGTATTTGAAATAACGGGGTTCACTTAATGCACAAGAAAGAAAAAAAAAACTCACCACCTGGATTCACAACATTTGCTTAGCCCTGTGGTTTTCAAACCTTTTGAATTGCTCTACTAGTGACCCAGTGTTAAAGGATGAAACCATATTGTTTTTGTTGTGTAAGTGCAGATGTAATTTATAATATAGTAATATAGTATATAACCATATTGACAGCAGTGAATAACAGACAACTACTAGATGTCTACTTTACTTTTTAATATCCAGGGCTTCTGCAGGTTTCAATGTGTTAAATTTAAGACCTTTTTAAGACCACTATGACTTCATAGGGCTGTTTGAAGGTTAAGACTGGTTTTAAGGTTGAGTTTTCATTCAGATGTAGGTTATGGTTAGAGTTGGGATTAATTATTTCTAACGTTAACAGATACAACTTTAACTTAATGGTATAAATTGCTATTTTTTGATGAGAGGAGATGCCACGTTAGCGTACACACACTAGCTGGGTTTGCTCAGATAAATTCTGACAGGGCTACACAGTTTGCCCAAACCCAGGGGTTTCTTGTTGGTTTTATTTTGTAGTCTTGTTACAGCATGACCAATACATTTTTTCCCCAAAAAAGCAAGACTGAAGTTAATGCCACTTTATGAACATGTTAAACATGTTAACATAATAATCCAATCAATTTTTAAGACGTGTCAAAATCGCAGCTATTTAAGACATTTTAAGCCTAAAATTCAGATTATCGTATCAGACTTTTTAAGGACCCTCAGAAACCATGAGAAAATATCATTCATTGAATAAGATGAATGTAAAATTAAGGAAGACCCACAGAGCTTGCAGTTACCATTGAACATCAACAACCTCACTGACCTTGTCCATTTGAACCCGCACATTTGCAGACTGTTACTATCTGGGGCAAGCTCTTTCACAAGCTCAAGGTTAGTCATACTGTGGTGTATGTCAGCCTGTAACCCCTCACATGCTTCTTTTATAGTTCATGGGGTCACGAGGATGGGAAGATAGCCAAGTCCTTCTGGAAAAAAGCTGTGGCTGTATGAAGAGTAACTGCAACAGAAATATCACATAAAACTACACTAACCTGCAAAGACCAACATTAACAATGGATGTTTGTATTTACATGGGGTCACGTGTTGTGTGAAGATATGCCACTGAATGATAAACTATTTCTTCACTTACCAAAACTGCTCTCAAGGCAGAATAGAATTTAATTGTGTTTCATCACAAATGCAGTTGCTAGTTGATGGAGGACAGTTAAATACTTAAAGAAATGAAACTAGTATTAACTATTCTACATAAGAATTTATGTAGGGCTGCAACTAATCAATTAATCTAATGGTTATTTTCTTGATTAAATGTTTAATTTATAAAACATTTTTTTAAACTGTGAAAAAAATAACCCAGTTTCTCAGAAGATAGTGATGTATTTGCTTTGTCTGAATCCAAAACATAAACATATTCAATTAACTGTCATATATTGAAAAGAACGTCTGCAAATCGTGTCTTTTGAGAGACCGAAAGTAGAGAATATTTGGCATTTTTTGCTTGACAAATAACTGAAACCGACAATCAATTACCTCAATATTGCCAATTAATTTTCTTTGATTTGATTTCTTTGACTGATCACTAAATCTATAAATTTATGACATCAACAAAAACAGTTTTACGTTAAGCTGAAAATTCCCTGTGAATGAATACAGCATTGTGCTACGTTTGCAAATAACAAGGAGGTCAAAGGTCAGAGCTGAAGGGGCAATAGCTTTGACTCCTGTGTAAAGATGGAAAGGCAAACGTACTTTTACTATCGATTAGAACGTAAAATTACAGAAAATGGAGGGCTAAAAATAAGATAAAGAAGGGGGGTAAAACTTCTCCCAGACCGGAAACAAAATGCAGTTGTTTGTGTGTGTATGTGTGTGTGTGTGTGTGTGTGTGTGTGTGTGTGTGTGTGTGTGTCAGCCAAATGCTCATGTGCTTGGACGTCATCTGCGCCCCTCCCACTCCGTTATCCCGTCACTCCTCCCTCTCTCTGCTTCTCTCAGTCCGCTCTCCTGCAGGCCCGACCTCGGCTTCTGCCCGGCCAGACACCCAGACATACCCCATCGACTCCCGGGACACATAAGGGGGAGAGAGATTTGCTGGGACACGACGAGAGAGAGCGAAAATACCCTGAACATTTGCTGGGAGAAAAATTGCAGCATCTCACATATTCTCCCATTTGTAGATACTTTTTTTGTTTTTATCCCCATTAATCTTTTTTATACGGAGGAAAAACAAACTTTGTACTCTATGGAAAGATGTAAAAACCAGCCCGGATACTAAACTCGGACACAAACTGCGCCCTTCTGAGCCAAGCAGCGGGCTGGGCACACACAACGGGACCGTTAGGTTTTTTAGCTAGCTAGCAGGGACCGGGACCACTTTGTGGATAAAGATTAAAAAAAAATATTTTCCTCTCAGAAAGCCGCATTTTTCACTTCACTGCGGGGGAAACACCAAAGTAAGTACCGTTTCACTTTCATGTCAGCAAGTAGACGTTATTCGTTTATGTGTACGTGAGTGTGTTTGCGGCGCTCTGCATCCGCACTTTGCGCAGACGTCATTACGCACTCCTGTAGGTCAATTAATTAAAACGGGCCCCTTTGGGTTTAAACTGCTATAACTCATACATAGCGTCGTAGAGTTGTTACAGTAGTTTTTTAAAGTACGTTAATCAATCTGTTAACCGATTTGAAGACAAGAACGCGACCTGGTTTAATAGTGGTCTGTTTCTAAAGTTTGCTAAATAGCTGCAGATTATGTCACATTATCACTATAAGTACACATGGGTCCTTCCCTGGAATCGGTTCCTTTTGCGTCCCCAAGAAATAAATAGTCACAAAATTACTGTAGCGGTAAATAAATATAATAATCTATAATAATAAATAATGTTATTCTTAAACAGTGTTTTGGTATAAATATAATATTCATACTAAAACACTGTTTAACAATAAAAAAACAGTGATTTAATTCCTTTGTTCCCTTTGATTTGTTCCCGAATTTCATGTCAACACTGTTACCCTCATCAAAAAACCTTGCAAAATAGTGTTAGTGGACTGTTGAAGAAGATCCAGTTCACTGGATTGGGTTATTTCCCTGAGACAGTGGGAATGAGTGGCAACAGCAAATTAATTGGTTGTTGTCAAATGTTTATTGTTTTCATTCATTGTCCATTCTGCATGTGCAAATACATAACCTAAGCCTAGTAAAGTCTTCATACGAAGACCATTTACTCTCTATTGTCTATGCCAGTGGTTCTCAAAGTGGAGTCCGAGTACCCTCAGGGGTCCTTGAGGGGGTTCCTGGGGGTCCCCAGCAAAAAGGGGATCAATTTATTTTCACTATAATTCCATCCATAAGTAACACAATGACAGAATGTATGACTATTTTGGTCATGGGTTTCAAAGACTTTATGCAATAAAACATCTAAAAGCAAAAATCTCATCAGACGGTAAAGAATACAAAGACAAAACAGCAGAAACCCTCCCCAGTAGCATATCACCTATGTCCGCTACAGCTTCTCCTCCTGTCTGATGGAGCCTTCTCAGCAGTCTGGGCCCTTGTGCTCCAATGGAGCATGGATGGAGATAACACAACTGTGTCCGCTGTCTTTGTGTTGTTGTTGGACATGGTAAAGAGGAAGAATGGGAGGTTTGGTGTGAAAAATGTCTGAATCAAACTTGTCCCTGCAGTGGAGGAGGTCCCGTTTCCTCCTGAGGTGATGCACTCACGCGCTTACAGCACCTTTCTCCTTCTTGTCAGTGTCTTCATGCCAGGTGAGACGTTCCTCATAGAAGGCTATGACAATCTGTGGGCACTTATGATTGGCCTCCTTGGCAAGCACGAGATCAGCCTCGTCAGAGTCTTTCCACTTCATAGGACGAAATCTTGTCAAATGGAGGTCTGTGGTCTAATTTGTGTCACTTTAGGTGTCCTTGGCGTGAAAAAATTTGAGAACCACTGCTCTATGCGATGGTGTAATCAGCTGATCTTTTAAACCATTGTGATGAGTGCACCATTGGTTGTTACACAGTGACAACATAGAGCTTACTTTGCCAATGAAGGGGTGTGGTGTACAAACTTAGCAATAACAGCATTTTATATACAATTCATCAATTTAGTGGCTGTAGATGGACTGCTAATTTGTAATAAATATAGTGTTAGTCAACTTTATTTGTATAGCACATTTAAAAACAACAGGAGTTGAACCAAGGTGCTTGAGGCATAGAGTTGTAGGGGCTACTGGCAGCTACTGTAAACAACACTGTACAAGAAATTCCATCTGTTACGTTGGAGAAGTGACATCATTTACCAGAATGCCAACAGCTCAAGGACATGTATTCCTCTCATCTGTGATGTACTACTTCTCATGTTTCGGGGGGACAAGCATAAATCAATACTGTTAATTTTTTTTTTAACATATAAATCTAAACAATTATTTATTTCTCATAATATAATCAATATCTACAAGTAATAACCCTTCAAAGTACACCGCATGTGTTTTTGTGACTTTGATCTTTCAGCTAGCAATGAGAAAATTAGCTTGAAATGCTCAACCCTGTTACCGTTGACCAAGTTACTTGTCCAGAGTAACAGGTTTTGACTTTGGAGTAACAGGGATGACATAGATCAATGTTTACCCTAGTTTCACTGTCTTTGAAAGTTATAAATTAAATCAATTTAAAGGTCATCATGTGTGTATTCAGTAAGGGTAGCATAGGAGCATCTACTACATTTTAGTTAGTGCTGTTTGAGTCCTATGCATCCTGTAGGTATGGTAGGCAGTGATGTTACTGAGCTTATTACCTTGTTTAGTTAGTTGTTATTAGCATTATTGTGATTCCAGATAATATATATTTGTGAGTTGTAAGTAGTATGCCATTAGGTGCAGTGGAAAAGCAAATTATAATTATATATATATAAATTGTATGGCACATTATAACATGACTCAATTGCTTTCAATATGTCAATATGAAAATAATCAGTCTCAATAAAAGTCATTTTTCTTTCAAAATGCTTGTCAGTAATGCATGCATGGAAATGCAGTGACAAAAAAGAATTAGACTTCTTAGAAATCTAATGTGTTTCACTGAATCAGCCATGCAAATCAAGTGCAAAACAATATTATGTAACTTTGGTGATAAAACTTCACAGTAGTGTGTAGACAAAAATTTGCAGTGTCCATAGTAGAATAAGTGTTCTGTCATCCCTGTTACTCTGATTATTTCTGGTACCATAGAGCCAATCCTGTTATTGTCATTAATTTGATAAAAATGTAAAAAGTGACAATTCAAATGGCCTTGCAACTCTTATCATTATATTTTAAACTACATTTTATTTTGAACCGTGCCATTCTTTTAAGATTTCTCCTCTAAAAATAGGCTATATTCTTAATAGACATGTGATCTGCATCCAAAATTAGGATGCTGTTGATCATCTGAATGAGAAATATCATACTGGAAAAGAAAATCCAAACTCTAAAATAAGTATTAAGTATTTAGTATTTCTTAGACTTGTTGACTCATCTGGCTCCACATCGACCAGCTACATCAGTAAAATGCTGTTTATGCATTTATGCTTCAGTATTAACAAAAATGTAACATTTGGTACTTTTATATAATAAAAGGTGTGAGGTCTCCATTTAGGGTTCTGCTGCTTCCTTTAGAGTAGCAATTAGCTAGTGGTAGCTAGGATTATTAAAGCTAGCATAGACACCAAGCTGACAGAAAGTTGAAATAAGGTAGCTGTAAACTCACTGACATGTAATCACCACAGCCACTGGAAGTTCCTATAATATTCCCATAATGTAGGGATATCATGGGAATAGAATTGTTGTTTTGTTGGGTTTTGTTTGTAAGCACTTGAGATTTGTGTGTACCACCATGAGCACAAATGCATACTCATGCATATGTAAATCTATGACATGACAGTAGGCTAATGCAAATATGTGCGCATGTAATGACGAAAGCTAAGTTAAGTCAAGTTAATCTTTCAGTGAAGTCCTATGAAAGTCTGAATGTAGTGCTGAAATAATAGTCAATTATTCGGCTAGTCCATTGAGAAAAAAGTATTCAACAACAATCTTGATAATTGATTCGTTTGAGTCATTTATATACCAAAAATGTGAGGATTTGCTATGTGTCTCTGTTATATATCACTATAAATAGTATATCTTTGCGTTTGGTTTAGGAAGGTCAAACAAAGCAAGCAATTTGAAAAGCTCCGGGAAACCATGATGACCATTTTCACTTTTTGTGATTTCATAACAATCTAAAAGACAATAGTCAGTGGACTAACTAAAGGAATCACTAAAAAGAGAAGCCCTCTTGTTACACACAAAACCCTGACAGTGTAGTGGGAATAAAACAGCTTTAGATTTTGGTCCATCTCTCCCTAACCTGGACACAAAACAACTTCAACTTTCATCTGTCAGTAATAACATCTTCTACTTCTTCAGTTCTGTTGATTGAGTAATCAGTAATTTAGTTGAAGACAGGATTGTTGCCTTAAATTTCTTTGCACAGAAGTACCTCAGTCTTGTAAGTGTTTGATTATCATTACCCCACAGAGGTTCCACTCAACACAAAGGACAGGAGAAGAGAATCAGCATGACAATATTACCTTCACACCTCCTGAAGAGGCCTATTCGAATCAGTATGCTGACTGATTGAATCTCTCCATCAATAATTCATCAGGGTCACAGATCATTGTTAAAGGTCTTGAAGTTGACTGTCTTGTGATCTCTGTCTAAAACACAGACTAACTGTCTGCCCCTGGGATAATTTGACGTTTTCTCCCACTTAGTCATCGTCTTTAATCTCTGTTTGCCTAATCCATTTGTTTTTTACTTTGATAAAAACTATTCTTGGTTGTTTTCTGTCATGATCCTGATGAACGTCTAAAATGTGAAGGAATTGTATGACTCACCGTCAAAATCATCTTGCTCAAAATGTCCAAGGCATGACCTGAGTTACAACTAATCAACCATGTGCAGAAAGCATCCCAGCCTCCTGAACAGCCACTTCATCCCACAATATGTGCATTGACAATATCATGGCTTGTTCTGTGATCTGTAAACTGTGGCAGCGTGTTGGACCACAAGAAGTGAGGGATGTCAGTTAAAAGGTTGACATACTTTATACCCACCATTTACTGTGGGCGACAACTCAAGCAGCAGAAAATGACATATCGTGCATTTAATGTGAGCTACAGAAATATTCAAGACCATGATATAATTTAGGGCTGCTGATTTAACTGAATCACTCTGCTCCATTTTGGCTCCAATTGTGTGACCTTTTGTGTTATCAGTATGTAGTCAACATCCCAGTCTGTCATGACTTATCAAACCTGCAAATTCAGCTTTGAGCTCTCATGTCATGCAGCCTACAGTATACACCATCTAAGCTGCCTGATCTCCTTGTGTCTGTCTCCTGCTGGGTTTTTTTTTTAAAGGTTGAATGATTCAGTTGTAAGTGAGCAACTTAAGTATGGAAGGATATGAGTAAATGGGTAGTTGTACACATAGATGGTATGTTATGAGTGACTCACAGTCACAGCACATTGGTAATGTCTCATGACTGGCGTTCCTCTAGATAAACAAAGTATTGGGTGACTGTAAAACTCCATAAAATGTTATTCATCCATGGAGATCGAATGGGAAAGCTGGAGCTCTCCCTCGGTATGGTGGCAGTGTGTTTACATTCTCCAAATATTCCTGGATTCTGTACCAGGTTCCAGTCTGGTCTGTTTAGGTTTTCCTCAGGGGGTTGTTCCCTTTATTTCTTCATTTTTAAAAAAAAAACTGCTTTTAGCCTAGCTGAAAAGAAACGTATCAGTTACAGCTTGGAACTGTACTCTGCCAGGCATGAGCTTGATCTCTGTTTACAATCACCACATCCTTGTAATATATATTCATAGTGAGGAATAGAGAAAGAGAGAGACAGTCAGAGAACTTCCTTCCTCCCTCCCCTGCCAGAGGCATCCTTTATTTTTATTGGACCTTTGAAATGGTCAGAGTATGGTCATATGATCCTGTGGGCCAATGGAATGTCGTGTTAGGAAAGCTGTGGGGGGAAAAGTGCTTTAACATGCTGAATTCACTGGATGATCTCAACAAATAACCCTGAACATATCCTCTGGGATCCTAAATCTTCCTCCACACAACACACTTGCAGCAAAATATAAAGAATTTGTCACTGTTTAAATGCAAGCTTTTCCTCCTTTGTTGTTTGTTTTTGGTGTGTGTATATTTGTACTCAGGAATGTGTGTGAGTTGTTTATATTGAGCCTAATTATGCTTCATACACTTATTTAACAGTTTACAGTCAGTCGTTATTATGGGAAATCATTTATTACACAGCATAGTCAGTGTACAGTAACTGTCTACAGTCCTCAGAAGTCCTGCCCTTTGAACCATCTTTGTTTGTGCTCAGAAGATCATTTAGTTATCTGTTTTGTTTAGATTACACAGCTTCCTTATGGAGTCATACATGCACACAAAAACATGCTGTTCAGCAGAGCTCACGAGATTTGCCTGGACACTCAGAGGAGAAGTGAGATTCAGTGCTACTGAAGTGGAAGAACTGGCAAAATGACTGGGAAAAATATGTCACCCTTCATATCCACCACCACCTGTGCTGAGGGGGGAGAGAGAGAGAGAAAGGCCCAATGTTCGGCCAGCCGTGCTGTTGCAACAGGAAACGGGGGCCATGACTAACATGACATGATGTGGAAAATAACCGACACACTCAATCATGACACCATCTCATGGACAGTGTCAGAGGCTACAGCTAGCAGCAATATGTTTTACCTTTAGGATTGACTTAATGAGGGATGGTCTGTCAGCGTCCGATACTGAGAGATCTAAATTAGCTGAAGAACTAATCAGGGCATGAGACATAGACATGTCTCATATGATGTATATCAAACTCAATACAAAGCCTGTCAGTAAAACCAAGTATTGAAAAGCTGGTGTGGAATAACTGGTCAGATATCTGAATCAGTTATGATTTATTTATTCTTTGATCATTTAGTTCATTATTTCAATTTAAAAAATGCCGTTTTTATACAGTTTTATTGGAGAAAAGTTCTTGTATTTATCATTTGTCAAGCTTAAGTGATTAGCCTATTGACAAAAAATAAACAGCTGTAATTCTCAGTGGACGCGCTCCTTGAGTAGCTACTTTGTCAGAAATACAACAGAAGAGCAACTGGTCTAACTGTTTACAGTGCAATGAAAGAAAATCCCACACTGATGATGAAAGTTACCATAGAGATAGATATTTAGAGAATGTAAATACATTGAGTGGCTCTTGCAGAAAAAAACAGCTTACATAGTGTCAAAATTGGGTCTGATAACATGAGAATCCTATGGATTTTAAACTGAAGTCGCTTCTTAAGATACTCTGGTACTGAAACTCATGTACTGTGTTGGCACTATCAAAGACCCAGCTCTCGTCATAGATAAGGACTTTTATTTTTGTGGATCGTATTTATGAAGCACACACTCAGTGAAGAAAGTTTAGCTAGTGGTGTTTAACCACACCCTGCTTTTCTTCGGTACAACCTTTATCAGTGCATTATTTCCAAAATGTAATTTGAGATGAGTATTTTAAAGATAGTCAAGGGAGAGAGAGCATTACGCATGGCTTCAGCTCTTTGGGCCAAAGAGGGAATCCTTCTTGATTACTGGCATGGAGTAGCAGGGTGGGGATGGGAGTGGAAGTGAAGCGGTTTACATGGTTTTGGCATTTACAGCTGCAGAGGGTGGGAGGGGAGTTACTGTAGATCTGTAAGGGGAATCCAGAGAGGGAGTGTGTGTGTGGAGGGGGGGTGTTACCCCCATGGCTTTGCACATATGGATGAATCATGACTCACTTCCTTCAGACACTAACTCTCCCCCACCACCAAACCCTTTACTCTCTTTCTCTGCCACTCCCCGAACTTAGCAGCAGAAATATTCATCTCTGCACTCTCGACGTCAAAACCAACTCACAGCTGCTGTCGACTGTTTAGGAGAGCGCTGGGGTTAAAAGCATGAAGCAAAAGATTTGCTCAGTTGTTGGTCTGGTTTCTTCTCCCTCACGTGGGCCTCCTGTTCCCTGCATGCTGCATGTGCTCTGTTATATGCATTAGGAAAAACCTACGGGCAGGCCTCCAATAAGAGGAAAATGTTGGTACCATCATCTAATTCTCTTAATTACATGGTACCAAACATTCCTAATCACCGATGTCTTCCGATACACATAGGCAGGCCTGTATAGCAGATGCCTTTAAAGTTAGCTCCTATAGACCGCTTGTGTATTCATTTTTTAGGTGGAACCATGTACTCATTTTTATTCTTTTGAGGCTGTGGATTCTGCCTCTACAACACGTACATTATAAGTGTTTGAGTCTTTAGCCTCACAGCCTAATAAACACCTAAGAGTGGTGCTGATTTCTTGTGTGTCCTGTGTTGCAGGATGCTGTCGGAGCTGAGTGAGTGGTTCTGGCAGGAGCGGCTGTGGTTTCCAGAGGGCCTGGGCTGGGCTGACCTGGAGGATCGGGATGGACGAGTTTATGCCAAAGCCCATGACCTGTGGGTGGCGCTGCCCATCGCCCTCGTATTCCTCATTATTCGTCAGATTTTTGAGAGGTCAGCCCGTTTTTCACTCTGTCTTATTCAATATCTGTGCTCTGCAATATGCCTTTGGTTATTAATTCAAACATTTGCTTACTCTATATTTACATATTTTTTTCTGTCCACTTGTCGAGTCTAACTTGTCTTTCTTCTTTGTCTGCTGCTTTTAGTCTGGCCCTTGGTCATCTCCTCCTGACCTCTAATTAGATTATTTTACGTCAGAATGTAATTTTTTGTCTCTTGCTATTTTTTCTCAGCAATTATTTGATTTGCTTTACGCTGTGTCCTGCTTTATAATAAGTAAAGGTCTGCTCCTCCAAGTTATTGTTTCTCACACAAGTGCAGTGTTCCTGTTTCCAGTAGCTAATCTTTTGGAAATCAGACAGACCTTAGAGAGTCCACCTATGTTTTATTGCTAATAGCTCTCTTCCTCATTATTGTTTTTTATTCCTGCCTCCCACTCAGCCATTGAGTGGCACATTATAAAAATTGACTAACTGTAAATTTGAGGTAGATGACAAACTATTAATCTGTTTACATATATGAACATGAATGATATCTGTTGCTCTGTGGGTTATCAGGACAGATATTTTCAAAAGGCACTTGCTGAGACAGCAGCACTTACAGAGACAGACATGCAGCATGTGGCAGTAAGGTTTAATTGTAATGTCTTTAACAACATTTTCTTGACAAATTTTATGTTAGCATAATTTTTTTCAAATTTGTGTATGTCATTTCTCACAACGTGAAAGCTTTTCAATGGTTTTACCCCCACTGTTTCTAACTTCCCTTCATTTAACTGTCTTTTCCTTTCATATCTGTTTGTGTCTCAACAACCTTTTCATAATTACAGGACGGTGGCTACACCCTTGGCCTCTCTACTCGGGGTGAAAGAGACGGTACGGCTCAAAGTCCCTCACAACACCACACTGGAGTCCTACTACTGTAACATTACCAAAAACCCCACACAGGTAAATGTTCACATGCACACTTAAAAAAGACAGAGTAACATAAAATTTCTTTCATCAGAAAATTAAATACTTTAATCTGGCCTCTTCGTGTTGTTCTCAGAGTTCAATAGCAAGCCTTTGCAAGCAGACTGGCTACTCAGAAAGACAAGTGCAGCGATGGTTCAGGAGACGGAGGAATCAGGACAGACCGAGTTTGCTCAAAAAATTTCGAGAAGCCAGGTAAAAACACACACAAACACACAGTCACTCTCTGTATTTTAAACATATATGCTGTAGAGCTATAGATCAGGTTGAAACAGCTGCCCACCCTTGGGTTCCTCTGGCTATATGAGCACATTTCAGACGGCAAAAGTAGCCCTCTATTTATAACATGAACTCATTACAATGCCACTCTGCTGCTGCCACGCCTGTAGCCCCCTACTCTTCTCACTCTCACACATACACACACACAAATCCAAACATCCACATACTCATTAGCACAGGACCTTGGCAACAGTGGCTCTTTCACCACTGTTGGTTATTTTTATGTATGGGCAGTTATATACAATTATGACACACGCAGGGTTAAAACAACATGATAACCTGATAATACAATCTTTCTGAAGTTAATCTTAGCTCGAAAGGTTCACAGTGTGGCAACAGATGACACTTACAAAAGACAGCCATATCTTTAAGGGTGACATCAATAACTGCAGATAGCATGATGGTGTTAGCATCAGCAGGATTGAAACACAGGCAAATGCAGTGATATGCATGTACACAAGCACATTCATGGACAATCTGTTCATGCATTATTCTATCCCATGTGTTGTGTTCTACGTATAACTCCTCTGTTGTGGTGTGACTGTCATAAGTAGTCATTCATTAGCTTCATTGTCAGGGCTATGTTCATGTTTAGATCAACATAAGTTTTTTAAGTGACTTAAAGGGTCAGTTTACCCAAACTACAGAAGATACAGACTCTACAGATACAGACAGTTTCTTTTTAATCACAAGGGCCAACAGGAATACTGTCTCTGGAAATAGAATTTTGCAATTTTTGTTTTTAACATATAGTTTTTTGTTGCTGTGAGTTTAGCTGAAATGATGCGTTGATCAACAAACTTTTATTTGACATGATAATCAACCAAAAACCAAAACCTCAGTTTTAGCTTCTCTGTCATGAGGATTTCCTGCCTCATGTGAGAATAAACTGAATATCTTTCTGACATGTGGCAGTTCGATAATAAAAAATAGTTGTTAGTTACAGCCATCACTCTGAGATAAATATCTAATAACATGAGCAAATTAAACCAAAACTGTCTTCATATATCACTAGATATAAGTGAAAATAAGTTTTTTGTAATTAGGTGAACTGACCCTTTCATCTGCAAGAAGACAGTGAAGCAGAGTGGCGTGTGTGTTTCTGTGTCTGCTGTATGTGTCTGTGTAGAAAGTCATGTTTAAGCAACTTCATAGCGGACTAATGTTCTGCATACTAATGTTCTGTGTGTGAAGATGTTTTTGTGACTGCATGTTTTTCACTCTCTGGTTATGGTGTCTTTCACTAAGTGTGTTATGACATTTTTCTTCTGAATCAATCTATTGTTCATCTCTTTCCCTTACTTCCCCCACTGGTGTATTTCTCACACTCTCACGCTCATTGTCTGTTAGCACAGGTTCTGCTTCGTGTGTGTGTGTGTGTGTGTGTGTGTGTGTGTGTTGGTGTGTGTGTGCATGTGCGTGCATCCCGATTTGACATTCTCAGCACAGTTCACCAGATTTTTCCAGGCTGTTCACTCAGCCTGGTATTTCTCTCTCCAGTGTACATTCTTGTGTTTGTGACTGTGTGTGTGATGCGTTTATGTGTTTGCTGGTAGAAAATGTGTCTATTGTCTTTTCCCCATTGACTGAATAGAGAGTGTGTTTGTATGTGTGTGTGTTCTCTTGCAGTTGGAGATTTACCTTTTACCTTCTTGCTTTCATTGCTGGCCTGGCCGCCCTCATCGATGTGAGTACTTCCATGTTAACCTCAACCCCTCCTCCTCTTCCTCCTCCTCCTCTCCTCCCTATATGTTCACCTCCTCATTCGTCACCTGCCCTGTCATCATAACTTGGCGGTGCCCATGGTAGTCTGTATTTTTTGCTGCGATAACCTCACCTTTCACTGTCAGTGGAGCAGCATTGACTCATTGCCATGCTGAGTCAGTTGATATAAATACACCTGTCGAGTTCTGCTGTCTCATTCACACCTCATCTCTCCTTCCAGAAACCTTGGCTGTATGACCTGAAAGAGATGTGGCAAGGCTTTCCTGTGCTGGTACGTCTGTAGGATGGCTAAGTACTGAATACATCAGAGTATCTGCAAGTTTTCCATAAAAAAGGCCTTAGAATTCATCCAAAAGTTTTCAATTTGCAAAAGTTTGGAATATTTTCTCTTGCCTACCAAAGGTGTTTTGTGGATTGTGCACACAGGAGGCTGTTTAATCTATTTTTGTGGAGTTTCAGTCAGCGCCGTCAGACCTGTAGCAAACACCGTCACTACTGACAGCCACAGCAGCTAGTAAGCTCATTGCCTCATAATGTGCAAGGGTCGATTTTGGTAAAAACTTAAATTCATTCATTATTTTGTAATTGGTTAATCCATCCATCAGTTTTCTGCCACTTGCCTGGATCCAGGTCATGTTAAGTGATTAAATATATTACTAAGAATTATTGTTGCATACAGAAGGAAATTTACTGATTAAAATGTGGTATCAACCTGAATAAAAATCCATGTACTTACTACGTAATTTAAGGCCATATTGTCCCTGTTTTATGTCATTCTTTGTCAGTCTTAAATTTAATTTAAACACTGCTAATACAGAGCTTCCAATAGAGCTGAAAAGATCAGTTCATTAATTTGGTTAATTGTTCACCATTGAAGTCATTTTTAAAGCAAAACGTCAAAAATAGAGGTTCCAGCCTCTCAAATCTCAACATTTGTTGGTTCTCTAGAGGGGTGCACGTAGGTATATGGATTTTGAAATGAAAAATGTGTTTCCTCTCTTGCAGACTCTCCTGCCATCTCAGTATTGGTACTACATGATTGAGCTGGGCTTCTATGGCTCTCTGCTCTTCAGTGTGGCTTCTGATGTCAAACGCAAAGTGAGTGAGTTTGACTTGCATTGAGACAGAAGGAAAAGTAAATGGGAAATGAATCTATAATTCATACGAACGATTTTAAACCCAAACTCACTGAGAGTTTTCTTTTCTTTTTTTTTTTTCCTTTTATAATATTATTACATCATGATCACCTGCACTCAAGAGGAAGACAAACAGCCTGTTCTCACTATCAGATCAGTTTGACATCTGGCATGGACTGTGGGTGGACATTAGACTGTTGTTACACGTGTGTTTGAATGTGTGTGTGAGTGTTTGGACTTTGCTCAGCTTGGATCAGCTGAGGGCAGTGAGGAAAATATTGCCAGAGGCCCAGGGTGTTCCTCCAACACAATATTTTAACCCGGATACCTAAGCAGGATTTACCACCATGCACACAGACCCACTTAACACATGCAGCACACAAATATAAATTTCAAACAATGTCCTTTTCCGCAGCATAAATAACGTATTTTCTTCTCTTTAGGACTTCAAGGAGCAGATTGTCCACCATGTAGCGACAATCCTCCTCATCAGCTTCTCCTGGTGTGTTAACTACATCCGAGCTGGAACCCTCATCATGCTAGTGCATGACTCCTCTGATTACCTCCTTGAGGTAAATATATACACCTCCTTGAGTCATTACAGTAGTTTGTATTCATAGTATTCTGATAACTGCACTTTGGCAAGCAAACGTGTGCCTGCAGTCACAACCAGTGAGCTTTGACCATGGTAGAGTGACATACATAAACTGTAGGAGCTGTATTCAGCGTCATGGAAATGCAGCTTACAAACAGGCCTAGTATGAAATTTCACCATGACATATTATGTCTTTGTCATGTTTCCCTACCAATAATAAAATGCTGTTTAGACTCTTTACATCCTGAATCTCAACTGAGACTTTAGTGTTGTCTGTGAATTCTGATGGTAATACACTGCCACCTAGTGGAGGAAACTACACTTTAGTTGTCTTTGGTGGGACAACAAATGTATTACCCATTTATCTGCATCTGCATGTTTTCCTATTAAACTATATTTCTGTCTTTCCCTCTGCATCTGACAGTCTGCAAAGATGTTCAACTATGCTGGGTGGCGAAATGCCTGTAACTACATCTTCATTGTATTTGCTGCAATCTTCATCATCACTCGTCTAGTCATCTTCCCCTTCTGGTACAAACACTTTTCAGATGTTTTATTATAATTTACTGCTAGATGTTATTTTTCTGCATGCCTTGTCCTAAATCCTTACTTGTCTTGGTTGCAGGATTATTTACTGTACGTGGGTTTACCCAGTGACTGTCTATGAACCCTTCTTTGGCTACTACTTCTTCAATGGACTTTTGATGATTCTGCAGTGTCTACATATCTTCTGGGCTGTCCTCATCATACGCATAGCAGTCCGCTTCCTTACCAACAATGTAAGCAAACATAAAGAAATCTACACGCAAAACTCAAGATTCTGTTTATTCATCAATAAAATCATTTAACTTTGTGAGCTCACATCATTATCATCCAGCGCTGATTACAAGACAAATATGAATAAAATACTAGAAAAGGAACAAGTACTTGCTATTGAAAATTTGCAGTTGAAATACTGAGTTGTCAGTTTAAGTGTAATCACTGATTCACAACTGTTAATATAACACTCATATAATCATGTTACAAGGTTGATATGGTGAAGTTGTTAGCAAACAGTTACTTGCTTACACTCTGGGCAGACAGAGAGCAACATTATCATACAAGTGGGGTCATGTCTCTGTCTACCTGGTGAATGTAAGTCCACTATTCACTCTCTCTTAGCTCTGTTTTTGGTTGCTAATTGTGTCTGTCTGCTGTTTCATTCTGAGCAGGTAGTGTACAGTGGGTTTTCAGACTATTCTGAAAATTCACTGAAAACAGCACTATGAGAGAAGTGAGAGTGAACCAAAGCAGCTAAAGCTAAACAATGAGCTGAAACTCAATATAAAGCTCTCTAAAGCCAAAGGAAGCTGCAGATTCAGGTTATAAGTGTCTGTAGATTCATCATTATGAGCAACCCATTTCATATTGTCATTTGATAACTTCAAATATTGATTATAGCCGCTTAAAAGAAGAGAAGATGAAAGCAGTAGAACTTCCATTTGACTTTTAAGTGCTTAAAACAGTTGAATTGTCATTAAGGACTCTACTTTTTTTTATCCATAACACACACACACACACACACACACACACACACACATTCATGCATGCAGCTGGACAGTTTGACTTTGTTCTGACACTGGCCAGAGCTCCATGACAGTCTGAGTGGAAAATCTCCTTGATATTGCTCAATGGCCTCTTTTGTTCACACCCTCTTCTTCTTTTTTAAATTCTTCTCAGGAAAAAGTCGATGATGAAAGGAGTGACAAAGATGAAACAGATGAATCAGAAGAAGAGGAGGAAAGAGAGGCGGAAGATAAGAAGGACATGAAGAAAAATGGACCGGTTCAGAACGGTCACACAGTCCACAACAACAACCACAGCAAGACAGAGTGAAAGCAAACAAGTGTGAGGACGTAGGAATGTGAGAAGGACTCGTATCCCTCAGTAGGGGAGCAAGAGGGAGGAATGAAAAGAGAGAGCAAGAAGAAGGGAGGGGGCAAGTCATTCCCTAAAACCAAGAACAGCAGGTATCCTGAGGAAATTTGACAGTTACTTTTGCACGCCACAAAAACACACTCACACATGTTCATTCGTACTTTTACAGGGCACAGACATCCAGCAGGTGATATACACTACATTAAGTGGCAGAGCTTTTGTGCTTTGTCATCAGAAAAAAATGTATCATTGTCAGTGTGAGGTGTCAGTACCAAAATTTCAAAGAGACAGGGGAGAAAATGGAGAGGAATAAAGTGTGGAGAGGACACTGGAGGGGGCGGATGCTGCTTCTACTTTAGCTTTCTTGTTCTAACTGTGTGCCTTAGAGCCAGCTAATTGCTGTCAAAATGCCATTTTATAGCTTTTATGCTTTTTGCTATCTTTTGTTGCTTCATTTCATTGTACCTTTTTGTTTTCTAGCAAAAGAACAAAAGAGTGAATGTTTTATGAAAGTGAAACAATAGGGCATTCATTTCCCTAATTTTTGTCTATGCAAGTACATGAGTGTTTGTTCAGCTATTGCAATGTCTTTGCACAAACATACACTGTCTCGTATATGATGTTATAATTTGCAGTAGGACTTTGTGCCTCTGCTCTCCAGTGCGGCCTGTGCCATTTATAAAGTAGTCTGCCTTATAAGGTTTAAGGAATACATGTGGTTTCAGATTTTTAGATAAACAGCAAGAAAATGTTGCTTTCTTATTTTAATTCCAGTTCACTTTTAATTACAGCAAATCTCCATTTCCTCCTTCCAAAAGAGATGTCTGACCTGCAAATGTTACCATTCTCAATTCTTTTCTGTCTGAGCAGTCAGTCATACCCAGATATGAGTGTTCAGCACAAGCACTGCAATAGAAATCACAGCTTCCTGCTAGTTTTGATGGAGCTGAATGTTTTTTTTCCTCTCTGGTTTGGCTGAAGCAGTTTGATCCAGTTGAATCTTGAATCACACTGATAATGGCATCCATTGAAAAGCGATGAAGCTCCATAAAATCATTGTGAAGGTAGGTTGCTCTGTTGAAATGAAGGAGTTTTATTAAGGCGAATGCAATAGGACAGGATAACCATTTCTAGATTCAACAAATCTCGGCCAGATTACTCCAGTTCACTGCCTTGTAGCCTGGGTTATATTATTAACCTTGGTGAGAATATAAGTGTTGATCTAAGTGAATGATTTTAGGTATGATTCTGTGTATGAAACGGGTTTACAGATATGTTTTTTTTTTTTTTTTTTAAAGAAATCTGCTTTTAGGAGTTCAATGTTTCAGTTTTTCATGAAATAATAAATGTTGCAGCTTTGTTGTTCTGCTTTAAATTTATTTGTATGTCAAGTGCCTTATCTGTAATGTATGGGAAGATTTCTCTCCTGTCTTCATGTCCTCTCCTTTTCTTTCCTGTCTGCACCTCACATCACAGATTCAACTCTGTAAGACTAGAACATCCTATTTCCCTACTGTCTCAGTCATCAATCACTTTTCTCCTCTTCTTTATAAATTACCCTCCTTTCAAACTCACCCTCATTCCACCACGTTCTTTTTTACTAACCCAGACCAACCAGCAACCTCTCTTCCCTGACGATACAGAAGAAACAGCTGTGTCCTAATTACAGTGTTATTTTTTTTTATTTTGTATTTTTTTTTGTTTGTTTATTGATGCCTAAGTATTGTTAATAATAAAAGCAAAGATCATGAATCACAATAACCCGAGCTGTTTCCATTTGTTTATGTGGCATGTCTGCAAACCACACCACACACAGTGAATCCTTAAAGTTTATAAATTCCAACACGTCCATATAAAGACAAAGATATGATCATCTTACAAAGTTAATTGTAATAGATTAAACTACAATACTATTTACAAAGTAATTATAATTAGCTGTGTGTCAACCAGGTACAGTATTGAAATGATGTTTACACATGAATACATCATGTCATCAAAATAATAATCCAGTAAATATAATCTGAAAGCTCATTTTACTGTCTGCTGAGTGCTAGTTTAAATACATTTTACCTAACTTAGTCACGCACCTCCACTTGAGCAGTGTTGAAAAGTAACCCAATATATTGACCCATTGAATGTTGTTCAATACAGTTTTAATGTACTTGTGCGTTTCTTGAGTATTTCCATCGCCGCTCATATATAGTACTTTTTGCTCCAAGGCATTTATAGAATACAAGAATATAGAATACAAGCTTTTGCGTGAAAATAGAGTGTATTTTCTTACACCGAATTATTGCTAATTTTACTCAAGTGAAAGATCTGAGTACTTCTTCCTCCAGTGATGAGACTTCTTGTGTTGAGTGTGAAGTATAGTGTTGCCAGATGTAGTACATCCTCACTGTATAACATGGGTTTCATTCCATACTGTTAGACTTTAAAACACCAAATAGTTATAGGCTGGGTCATCTACACTTTCATCCCTTCCCAAACTGAGGGCTTTTGTTTTACTTCCGCAGACCTACAGGTCCCTCCACACTGTCAGCGGGGCGGAGCACAACATGGATTTCCCAACATTTCGCGTCATTTGTATCTGGCTGCTGTGAAGTCCAATAGAGACAGGAGGAAAGAAAACACTGTAGACAGATTGTGCTCCGCTAGCCTCAAACGCCATCTTTAACAGATAGGGGCTTTAAACCGGCAGAAAACTGGGAAACTGGCACCAGTGGAGACAACCCGTTTTTTCACGTGTGTTTTAAACCCTCGGATCGCTCTGGAGCTGTACGAGTCGTGGCTTTTGGCATTTATAACAAAAACTAAAGTCGTGAGGAAATCGGCGAGGCACTGGTTAGCCTCGAGCTAGCTAGCGAGGGGGAGGGGCGGGGGTTTTGAGGATTTTTTTTCGCAGCCGAAGTTGTTTGTTTATGTTATTCCACACGGACATGTCCTCTTCAAACCCAGGTAAAGTGCAATAAAAATCACAGCGACATTCAGCGATATTGTACTATGCGACTGCTAATGGGTTATGGGTGTTTTGTCATACACAGCTTAAGTGGACACTTTCCTAAAGATAGCGTGACAGCATCGGCTGAGTTAGCTTAGTAGCAAAGCTAATGCCATAGCAAGGGTGGCTGTTTATTGCATAAGTGAGAGCTTGCTAACATGCTAGCCAGCTAACAGCTGCTAGATAACTGTCTAAATAGCTCCTTTGTATTATTTATCACCAAATCTAAATAAAGTGACTACCAAGCTGCGGTGGCTAACTCAGTTTATTTATTTCTGTTTTTAGAAAATGTTGCTCACAAGATTGATAACTGTGTGCTTAACGTAGCTTCAACATTAGCTCGGGGTTGCGGTTGTCTTAGCTCCAAACTATCTACAATCTCGATTTAACAACAGTTCATGTGTTTCTAACTTAATGCTTTTCTATAAGTTGTGAAATAAAAACCAATGTCACCTCTGGTTGTTAAAGCTCATTTGGCCTCTGAGCGTGGGCTCCATTGAGTAGTTTAGTTTCCTTTGCAGTGCTTGAGGCACAATGGGAAATCACCTGTCCCTTTATGTTATTAATAGAGTTACCAGATCCAAATCTGGGTATGGGGGCAAGTGGGACCCAAGCAGGTGGCGGGGCTGTTGTGCCAAAAGGGACCAACAAGAGACGAGCTACGTAAGTGTGTGTTTTTAGTGGTAAATTTTGTGTTGAAATGTCAGCATCGTGTTATGTAAATTTGCTGACTGATGTACTTTTGCTTTCGATTGTTGTGGTCAGAATTCTCATGAGAACATTTGTGTGAAGTTTCTCATGTGTTACTTCTCTACATTGCAGGCAAGACTTTGATGATGATGAAGGAAGCAAGTTGTTCAGGTACATTTGTACCAGTTTGTCCTGTCATAAAGCAAAATATGTGTTTAATCAAGTGTTTTAATTGTCTGGGCTGCTGAGATAACAGCAGTGTTTCTCTGTTTTTCCCAGGTGTGATGATGAAACGGGCGGCTCTAGCAATGACAAAGAGCGCTTTGCCAGGTAGGAGGATGAATGAGGAGAAACAAATTTGTTTCAGGGCATAATAATATTGATAAAGTTATTACCCGCATGTTGCGCTCGCTCTTCTTTCCATGTTTTTTTTTTTTCTTTTTTTAGTTTTACACTTCTTTTTATTTTTGGTTGTGATTTTTGGGCCAGTTTTTTTTAGTGGGTTGGTTTTATTTCCAGGTTTTTGGAAGAAGATCAGAGTTTTGCAGATAAGGAAAAACTAGCCAGGTATGGCCTGTACCACTGTGGAAGGCTCCCTCTCCTGCTTGTATCCATATCAATAGTGAATGCACTGATCAAATACTATCCTGTCCTGCTGGGACCCCAGCACATTGTCATTTTGACAGCACAAAATTACCGGTATATTTCACCGCTCTGTGCGTCTGTTTTGGTGCCTGTCAGAATGTTATGCTTCTTTGCCCTAAGCAGCTGGTTGAATATTTCAACCCACCACTGTGATATGTGTCACTAACTGCTGCGCTGTGTGTGAGGGATTTCTTTCACTTTGGTAATCCCTTCCTCTTGAGAAACTTTCCTCTCTGTCTCTTTTGTCTCCCCCCTCTCAGGACATCTGAAGGGTCTTTATCTTTCTGCACTTGCCGTCTTTTGTCACACCGACTGGCCTTGAAAGACCAGGTTCTCTTGCTTTCTCACCATCATTTTGGTGGATCATTGACTACACTTTATTGTTTTGTGCGTCCATTATTTCTCTCACCCTCTCTCATTTCCATCTCTTCTTCCAGATTGGCATACTTACATTGCAACATTAACTCTAAACTCTACTCCATGTTGTCCACCTGCCTGTTTCACCCATCTTGATCCTTCCTATCCTCTCCACCTCTGCCTCCCTCCCTTGTTTCCTCACTGCAGGGAGAATCACAGTGAGATTGAGAGGCGGAGGCGGAACAAGATGACTGCCTACATCACAGAATTATCAGACATGGTGCCCACCTGCAGTGCTCTAGCACGGAAACCAGACAAACTAACCATCCTACGAATGGCTGTGTCCCATATGAAGTCTCTGAGAGGAAGTGGCAATACCAATGCAGATGGGTCGTACAAACCTTCCTTTCTCACTGACCAGGTATGAGCAATTCAAGCTGCTTTCACACATGCTCTGCAACATTACCCAGAGGAGCTGTATGTGTGAACGGTAATGTCTGAATCAGTTGAACTGCACATTGAATGGACTTTTGGAGAGTTCATGAGCAAGTGGGCATGTTGACGACATTTCTACCCCGGCGCCATCCCTAAACCAAACGGGAGTATTTCTAGTAGGTGTGAACGAATCTCACACAGACAATCTCCACACGTGTTCTGCATGTGTGAAAGAGCAATTCTGTACAACGTCAAGAGAGTCACATCCGGACATTGTCTGGAGTTCATATGTGAATGGCTCTAGGGAGAGAAATGTAGAAATCGAGGGGTTGTCAGATGTGAAACATGTTCAGGGTAGGCAACTATTTCTGACAAGACAGTACTGTTTTGTGTAGAAGTAAATTAATAATTTAGTGTACAGGTTTCACAGTCACAATGTCGTTCACACTATACCTCTCTGAGTTCAGTGGAAATAGAGTGAAGGAGGAGTGAAAGTAGCACCTTTTCAAGTCTGCAGGTTTTCTCACATGGTAGTCAGTCACTATTTTCACTGACTGTCTAAATTTGTAATGTCAAAAGAGATGTTCATTTTTTTTTCACCAAACTTCATACACCCTCCCTCCAGGCCATTGGTCAGCTTATTTTAATTGTTCAAAAATTTGTGATTAAGCATGGGCTCTAAGTGACTGTAAGTATGTTACTCCCTCCTGGTAAAGCTGCCCGCTAGCAGGTGAAAACAAGCAACTGGCATCGTATCATGGAGACGGTCATTATATGCCCTCCCAATGAGAACAGTGTCGATATTAGTGACAGGGACCAAGGGAATTGTGTATTCTCAATTTGTAGAAAAAGAGCTATAATTTACACACAAATATCATGCTCCATGATTCACTGATCTCTCATCCTCAGTGCTTACCCTCCCTTTGATGCTTTCTGTCTAAAGGAACTGAAGCACCTCATCCTGGAGGCAGCCGATGGCTTCCTGTTCGTGGTGTCATGTGAGACCGGTCGCATTGTTTATGTCTCAGACTCCCTGACACCCGTCCTCAACCAGTCACAGTCTGAATGGCTCGGCTCCTCCCTTTATGATCAGCTCCACCCAGATGACACAGAAAAGCTCAGGGAGCAGCTCTCTACTGCAGAGAATAACAACACAGGTATAAAGCATTCTCAGACACTTT